GTTTTATATATGTGTGTGTGTGTGTGTGTGTGTGTGTGTGTGTGTATATATATATATATGTATGTGTGTGTGTGTATGTGTTTTAAGTAAAATATATTTTCAAATATACACACACATAAAGGCCAAAAATATATTGGTAAACATACGTGAGTAAATATATTTGAAAAATATCTTAAATGTATATTTTGGCCATTTTTAAAAAATGTTTAATTTATAATTTTATGTATTTGACATATTAAAAATACAACTAATACAAAAACTTTAATTAAAATGAAAACTGATTTCAAAATGTTAGCAAACTATAATAGTATCTTAATGATATAGTCAATGTTTCTGAAATTAATGGAAGTTGCATTTTCAAATATTTTAAAACTTTGAAGCGTTGCTTCAAAAAAAACTCATTGTAGACGTTTACATTTAGAGAACGTATTGATGTATTTCCTTACATTTTCATTTATATATTTTTTTTTATATACATTTTTGTATATAAAAAATATACAAAAATGACCAAAAAAATACTGGTAAATATATGAAAATATATAAATATATTTTGAAACTGATATTTGGAATATTCTGAAATATATTTAATACTTTTATATTTAGTGTTTTATATATTTGAAAACATTTTACACTGGGCGTCGCCGCCGCTGTGCTTCCAGTGACAGAGAAACTTTTCCCGCTCCTGTGTTTTTCCTTTCAGGAACAGATTGAAAACATTCTTCCCACAAACCCCAAACCAAGTAATGCTGCTACTGAACGAGTGACCTGTTTATATAATAAACGCTAAACTCACCTCAGTGAAAACTGAAAGCCCGCCCGCCCGTTTCCCGCGCAAACCAGCTGCTCTCGCCAGCCGTTAATGAGGGGCTTTGTGGCCGAAAGAATGATAATGAAAGTGTGCGACTCTGGAGAAACGCCACTCTTTCATCTGCGCACCAAACGTTGTTCGAGAACGTTTCCCAAATATTTTCGATACTTGTGGGATTACAGATTTTTCTTCTGGGTGGGAAAGTACAACATTCCACACTTCGCTTTTTCCGGTTATTTAAGTGCATCATCCGGGTATTTAAAACAAACTTTTTATTTTTGGAATTTTCAGTGTGAACGCACCATTTATACTACAAAACGTCATAAAATAGTGCATAAGTACGCGATTTGGGACGCACCTTATGTCTCAGTAATAAACAAATTTATAATAAAAAAAATACAAATTAAATTTTTTAAAAACAATTAAAAAAAAGATGTGATTTATCACCATCTAGTGGATTAATCTTGCAAGTACAACTTTCAAAACGTTCCGTGGCGGTGGACTAATAGTATCAGAGAGCAATAATGTGGTACTTTGACATATACCATGGTACTACAATTCATGTACCATAATATTTACATAGCATTTCAAGAATCACATGGGTGCATGTGCAAAAACATGCTACATGGTACTTACGTTTTCTATTCATTATTTTGAATGTACCATGCAGGGTTTCTGTGGGTCTTAAAAACCTTAATTTGCCCTTCCAAAATAATTAATAATTATTAAATCAGAGGAGAAAGTCTTAAATCATGGCATTTAATGTTACACACACTGCAATCTTCCTCTGTATTTTTGTCTTGTTTTCCAATACAAATATCTAGACATCCTTAAATCAAGATACAATTACTTGAGATGCAAACTTAAGCTATTAAGTCTTGTTTTCTGCAGAAATTAAACCTAAATAAAAAAAGAAAAAGAAAAGTTGCATGAAATAAAATAAACATTAATGGAAATAAAATGTATATTAAAAAGAAACAATTTCAGCTACTTACCAAGGAAACATTTATTTTTCATTAAGTTTAACTTTATGTACTAAAATAAATAACTAAAACTGAAATAAAAAGAAATAAAAACTACAGACATTGACAAAAAAAGAAAAGAAAAAACGTTTAAAAACGTAAAACTAGAATTTTTTTTTTTTTTTTTTTTTTTAAATATATGAACAAAAATATAAAAGTATCTCAATGATACTAAAATAAAACTGGTTAGAAGTTGTATTCTCAAACTTTAAGTGTTGCTAACATTTAGAGAGCATCGATGTATTGTATTCCCTTTAATTTATTCCTTAAAATGTCTTCAATCTTACAGTAAATGTATCTTCATAAAACTCGCAGAAACCCTGACTAAAGTGAAACTTTCGCAATGAAAACGATCGAATTAAAACATTATATTTTATTTACGTTCACATGTGTCACATTCAGCGGACAGAAATCATTTGCTTTAATAGGAGGTCAACATTTACAGATGACGCAGAAACAAACGTTCACAGATTTTCAGTCTGGTATGTCATACAAAGCCAGCATAACATATATCTGAAAAAGAAAAGAACTAAAGGAAAATAACACAAATTCGCCCTCGGGTTAGTGGATATTTCCTGGGTTGCATTCACAATAGTGACTCGTGTATAGACTGTGGTGAAATGCAATTAGAATCAGTCAACATCTGAAATCAGTGAACTTTAAGGCAGCTCCATATCTTTCTGATGATTAAACGAAGGCAGAATTGAAATGATGAGTGCTGAACTTCTCAATAAACCACCTCATGTTTCTCATATGCATAAACACACACACCAGAAATGGTTCATCAAGCAGGTGTTTTGATCACCTCGGCCACACCTCCAGGAAGTGACATCACTCTGGGAGTCTATTTGAGGTTTTTGAGCTGCCGGTTGGTGGAGCCGATCTTGCCGTCCATCGTGTCGACCTTATTGAGCAAAGCGTCCAGAGAAACATCCTGGTCATTGATCTCGGCCTGCAGCCCCAGCCCCAGATTCTTCAGACGGCCCAAACCCAACGACATTTCATCTGCAGGACACAAACGCACGTTCAGATCCGGTGTGATACCATCAAG